TAGAGAATTATTCGATAAAGACTTATTTTAAATAGGAACAGGAACTTATTTGCCCCAATGCTGCTTTTTGAATTTGACTTTCAACTACCACATAAAGCCAAACAGCAAACTGAGAGACAGGCTGACTGACTCACACACTCACTCCCTCACACACACACACACAAGCACTTGACTAGCCATAAATTGTAAATGTTATTTGGATTTGATTTCCGTTCACCATGTTGAAGCAGCCACAGTTGCAGCCACAGATTTTATTATTGGGCAATAGGAATAGTGTCATCATCGTCATCATCAGCAACATCATCATCATCATCCACATCATCCACGCTACAACAACAACATCACATCAGCATCATGCTCATCTTTGTTGTATTTATTTGTTGGCAGCATCGTGGCGTTCGTGGGTTATTTTCAATTTATTTATGCGCCTTCATGGCTGAATGCGCCAGTTGATTGATTTATGACATTTTGGCATTATAATAAGCCAATCGAGTTGGAAGTTGAAGTTGCAACTCACCAGAGACTGCAGTGCTATATACATACATACTCTACTTAGGTATATCAGAACTCTTCGGAACCATTTGGCACACTTCTGGCCTGTCCATAAAAACATCTCACACGTTGCCATAAAAACACAACAAATTCGAGGAAACACACACGTCAGCAACAACAACCGTTGCCTTCGCTTATTTAAGAAACTTTCGTCTTTTTTCGACAATTATACAGTTTATTTCCGTTCGTTGGCGTAGCGCCCCTTCAGCTTCTTCTTCTTCTATCCGTATGAGGCCCCAGTCGCCATGCCCGTGCCTTGCTCGACCATTATTTACATACACGAAACGTGACGAAAATTTAATTTCAATTTTTTTATTTTTCCAATTTTTTTTACGAGGTAGATAAATGCTTTGCAATAATTTTCGATGTTGTCATAATTTGTTGTCTCGCTAGATGCCCATAGAGGCGGCAATGGATGGTAGCTGGGAAATGTGTGTGGCAGAACAGGTGTTTATAGAATGGAAAGTTTTAATATTGGAACTATTTTAGAAATGGCACTGCTTTATTTTTATAAAGCAGAAAAACTTTTCAATTTTTTTATACAAATACTTTACACAAATTTGAGATCTAACTACTGAAACTTTTGTATTATTTTGAATGAGTTAAGAGATGAAAGTTCATAAAAAATTACTTTCATTAGTGTTGGGAAAAGTTTCCAGCTACCAAGGGCCCAAGAATATCTTTATAATTTAGAAGATAAAAGAGTACATCTAAATTTTAAGATCCTACAGTTAACCAGATTGTAGAATTTTTCTCTCTATAGGTAATATAACTAACCTGAACCTTAAGATTCATTTTGAAGCAATTAAGAAAGAAAAAAACCGTGAAAATGTTTTCCATAAGTTTGCAGCTACCGAGATCCCAGAAAAGGCTTAACATTTAGAAGATAATTCAGAACATCTAATCTAATCTATATGTATCTATCTTGAACCTAAGGTACTATTTTGAAGAATTTAAAAGCTTGAAAGTTCATTAAATATAATTTTCAAAATTATTTCCCAGATCCCAGAAAAAATGTTATAATTTAGAAGATAATTCGTAAGATCTACATTTTAAGAACCTAGAGTTACCAAGATCGTAACATTTTGCTGGTTTTCCAATTGGGTTTTTTAAGTAGCAGGCAATGTAAAAACTTAATTAACAATTGGCCGCCCACAACATGGCCCTCAATTTGCGCCCCAAACCAAGCTCATTTAGCCATTACCCATTTACTATGGCAATGGCTACGGCACGTTTTTCCTGATTCTCCATTCCCCTGCCGCTCTATCCTCACTCCCTGCATCTATATAGCTCTAGCCAAACAATAGTTTTTAATGCGCTAAATTAAGTTTCAACTGGCTGGCCAACTGGCCAGCAGGCTGGCTGGCTGGCTGACTCGCTGCACCAGTCCCCGAAAATTACCCGCACAATTTCGTTCTTTAGATTTCTCCTCCATTGGTTGTGCCATATTGAATCTGAAGTTGGAGAGACGGCTTTTGTGTGCTTGCCTGCGCCTTGTCTAAACGTGACTACCGTTAATTTGGCCAGAACCTTATTTAATGCTCTCTGCCAGCTTAACTGCCAACTTCAACAGCAGATTGTTTTGGGGCGATAAGTAGGAAGAAAACAGCAAGCAACAGCAGAAGAAGCATAAGAGAAAACAATATCTTCATTTTCAAGCGAAAAGTAAAAACACTTAAGTCCATCGGAGATTTATCGGTGGCTGGCAAAGTATTTCGCATCGCATCGCTGATGATATCATTTAGATTCATGCCTATAGTTGACAAGACATGGCCGAAAAATATGTACATATCGTTCAATTATGCAAACAGACGCGCGATTATTGACAGAAACTAGCCCCGCTACCTATCCAACATTTTTGGTAGCTCTCCCTACCACGTATAACTCATTTATGTTCAATTCGTGCTTTTGTCGTATCCAGCGCCAAAGCCCGTTAGCGCTTCGAACGAATTGATTGATTTTATTTGTTTCCATTTTTTTTCTGTGCTGTTGGGGGTAAGCATATCATTAGGTTGTGGCTATGGGCTATGGGTCCATAAGCAAAGTTTATGGCTTTATAATGAATCAACATTTGTTTGCTGCCAAGCCAGACAAAGACTGTGATTTGTATAGTTGGATCTTGGGGTGAATACGAATTGGCTGTTGAAATTAAGTTATATAATTTTGATAAAGAAAATATTGATTGTGATCGGAGTGTGCAATTCAATAAAAATGCAAATCTCAGCCATTTTGGGAATAAGCTGACAAAATAGTAGGCAACTGACGAATAGAAAGAATTGAGGGAAAGAAGTTAGCAAAGTAAGTCTGATTTCATGCATGAAATAAGCCCTAATTAATTATGCAAATACTTGTATGTATAAGTGGCAAGAATTAAGTCAGAGGTGTAAAAAATATTAGATGATTATGATGAAGACCATTATGGTGTGAAATGCTCAAAGATTTTAAAGATAAGATACGTATTGTAAAACCAAATCTGCTTAATAGCAAGGTTATCTTAAAAGAACAATAATTTAGATGATATGTTGAACTAGCAACAACAATATTAGCATGGAAATCCACATGGAACACAACTTTATTTTGAATTAAAGTACAGTTAGTAAATACATGTGAAATAAGCCCAAATTAATTCTGGAAATATTTGTATGTATATGTGGCAAGAATTAAGCCAAAAGTGTAAAAAAATATTAGATGATTATGATAAAGACCATTATGGTGTGTCAAATGCTTAAAGATTCTCATGATAAGATACGAATTGTTAAACCATATCTGCTTAACTGCAAACTTATCTTAAAAGAACAATAATTTAGATGATATGTTGAATTAGCAACAATATGAAAGCCCAACTTTAATTCAAATTTTATTTAGAACTAATGTACAGTTAGTAAATACATATCTACATACTTGCTATAAAAAATCACTTCAGATACTTTGTAATCTTGGAAGTATTGTTTAAAGTTATCTTCATCTCATCATATACTTAAAAATTTATTTAACATTTAACTAGGTAGACTCGATCTCAAACTCTGATAATGGCACTCGCAAGTCGGCTTAATCGCAACCACAATAATAATTGCCTATGCTTAAAAAGATACATTCATTCTTTTTTATTTATTTATCACATGCCGACCATTTGTTAATGTAAAATATTATTATAACACTATGTTGATAATAAATTGTCTTAATGCCAAACAAGCCACACTCGCAAACCAAAGGGAAAAACAAATGGTTGTGGTTCGGCCGAAGGGTCGGGGGTTGCGGTTCGGGGCTAGGGTTGCCAAGTGACACAAGTGGCGCCGCTTTAAAGCAACATTAATCATAGCTCATGAGTGTTGCGTGTGGGCGAGGGGGTGTTTGGGAGACGCAGGGTTGCGTGTAGTTTAATAGCTGAGCAGAGTTTTTAGTTGTTGTTGTAAAATGTCGTCGGCCCAACAGCAGAGGCACTTAAATAATTTAGCATTCTATAAAGTGCATGCAAGAATTATGACAACTCATATGGCTGATAAGAAAAACAGCTGAGACGCTGCCGGTAGCAGAAAAGAAATGGCATGGCATGGCATGGAATGTGTAGTACTAGTAGATGGGAAATGTGAAAATATTTCATAATTAAGTTGGAATGCAAAATCAGCAAAAACTTAATGCCATTCTACAGTCGAGCCAAGCTAAATGCGTCAGAAAATACAAAAAAATGTGAATAACTTAAATTTAATTCAATGAAATAGGTATGGGTACGATATCAGATTCTGCTTCCCAAAGGTAAATAAGCCTTTAGTTAGTTTAATGCTAGTTAGTTAGTTACATATTTTATCGATATCAAGTAAAAATTTAATAAAAATCGGCCAAACTAATGCAAAAATTGACGATCGAACAAAGTAACTAATAAGTTCTGTTTTAAACTTCACTTTAAATAATGACACCTGTTAATGGGGATAATTATTTAGCGCTATATTTTTTTTTCAAAGAATCTTGATTACGATTCTTTAGCGCTAATAGTTGACTGTTTATTGCTGCTTTTAAAATAGATTTAAAGACATAAAAAGTAGCCAAATATATAATAAATATAAATATTTCTTAATATTTTAAAGCTTAAATTGTAAGAATTTCATTTACATTTACTAAATAAAATGTATTTATTTCTAAAATCATTGAAATAAATTTGAAATATAGTTGTTTCTAAGTTATTATTAATTTGTTTTAAGGACAATAATTGCCAAAATTCTTTATATTCAAAAATCATTTTTTGTTACTCCTGAACCACAACTGATTTCTCAGCTTTAAGCATTAAGCATTAAATGCCTATTGCTTATCTTTTTGGAAGAATGTTCAAAATAAAACGAGAGGAATTTTGCAATTCGTTAATTGTAATTTTGGCGCTGCTTTTCAGTTTGAATGCACGATTACGAATTTGTTTAGCTTTGCTCTAAAAACACGCTATTTTCTGTTCATTGCAGCAATCCCTGTTAGCTGGCCGCATACCCGTGGCCTCCATGACGGGTCCCATTAAACGTGGACTTTTGTGGCAGCAACGAGATCGCCTGTTCTCGCGCTGGAAGGAGAGGTGAGTGCCAAATAAATGTTAAGCGCTTTTGAACACACCGCAGTTATAAAAAAGGCGGAACAAAATAAAAATAAATACATAAATAAATAAAGTGAAAAATGCGTTGGCCAGCAAAAATTGTGAAGTGTTTGGAGGTGGAGGTGGAGGGAAAATGCAAATGCATTTTACCGCGTTCCCAGTTGGTTGTTAATTGCAAAAAGCGCATAATTGACACTGGCGCTCGGTTGCGTTATTTTATGGCCATGTTGAGCTGCAGATAATGGCGAGCTGGCCAGTTAAAGGGGTGCAAAATATAATTTGGGGTTGGCAGCAGTGGTGGTTTGTGTTTTTGTTTTTGCTTTTGTTTGTTGTGGCGTTTGGTTTAATTGAAATTTAATTACGTTATGCGCCTTTTCGCACTGAACTCTCGATGGGTAATTGTGTTTATCGGCATATTTATAATTGACAGTTAATGGCCACTAAGCGCAGCTATCGGTGTTTTCTTTTTTCAATACAAAAAAAAAATGAGCAAATGCTGCTGCAGGCAAGTTAATGGTGAAATAATGCAAATAATCTATTGATTCTCCAGTCGATCTCTTGGACTAGCTAGAGACTTTTAATCCCACCTGAAGTCTAGACACAGTCTGTGTTGAAAAAGGGTCAGAAATGAGTAATAAGTGGCATCAATTGTAATTTTATTTTAAAATGAAATAGTACTTTGCCTTTTACATTTTATTTTCTTAACGAAAGTTTGACTTTCTTAACATATGTGCCTTTAATTATATATAGTAATTGGAAAGAGTTCTGCATAGCAAGGCTGCATTTTCAATATATTCTTAGGAATTATTTAATATTAATAAGTCAGCTTCTGAACAGGCTTGAACAGGCTTCAAATTAGTGCTGTGTATAAGAATTATTAAATCAGTTATTGATGCCTTAAGGGGTTTCAGTTGAGAAGCACACAAAAAGACCTACTTTGTAGTTCACATAAAAATTATTAATTAAACTGATCGAATAAATTGAATGAAAGCAAGTGCCTTTATTTTTATATAAATAAGCAAAACAATGTGGTGTTTTCTATTCACTTCATTTAAATACAAAAAGAGCTAGCAAAAATTAAATAATAATTAATAATTAAAGTTTCCAGAGACCTTGCCACAACTAACCATTCTGCAGTCAGTTAGTCAGTCAGAGCTCTACTTAACACCAATCTCAACCACACTGCTCCCACACATGCCTCGTTTATTCGACCTCTGCCGAAATTCCCAAGAATTCCCAAACCACCAGTCTGTATCCCAGTTTCTCAGCTGCACAATCGTTCAACTTACGGCTCTGCCAAGCCTTTAGCATCATTTATCTTGGCAGTGATTTTCGCTCAATTTACTTGACCATCTTAATAATAGAGCCATAGCCATAGCCAAAAACAACAGCAAAACAGACACTTCCGCGGAACACTGCGAATGGTGGAAGAATTCCGCAAACAAAATCCGCTTTAAACTGTTCGAAAATTATCAAAGCCGGTTTAGATGACTTTAAACTTTTCCGCTTCTTCCTCTTCTGCTTTTTTGTTTAACAATCAAAGTCGGGTGTTCGCAACTTTGGCGCAGACATTAATAAATTTTCTAGCGAACTTTTCCAGACTACCTAAATGCCAAAAATAACAGCAACAGCAACAACAAAATGCCAACATGTATTATTAATTTTAAGCTCAGTATCAGAATTTATGCGTTTCACATGCCAAATAAAATTTTTTTTTTTGCATATAGTATATTTTATATTGCTGCTGTTATTGTTTTGTTGTTGTTGCTGCTGCTGCTGCTGTTGTGAGCGACGCGTGGCGTTCGATAAAAGACATTATCATGCATTATTATTGTCATACATATGGCTTACTTATAATGGCCGTAAAATCTAAAGCAGCTTTGCGATGTGAAGTGCCAAACACTTTTTGTCGCGTCATTCCGGCGCATGATTTATTTGTATTTATTAATAATCATAATAACATTTTTCGATCAACCGACAAGTGCCTGACTTTTATGCTGGCAAATTGTTGCATTTTTTCAAAATGTATACCCTATATATAATTTTTATGCGACTCGCACATTTTGTTTAGCTTCACAAAACATTGAAGTGCTGCTTCTTTTGAGCTCTTGTTTTGAGTTGAGAGCACGACTCTATTATTTATCTCATGGCAGGGCACACATCATTATTAGCATAACACTTGAGACACGCATAGCTATGACCTTAGCTAAGCAATCGCTTTAATGGTATATCGAAAATGCTCAACGCTCTTCGTTTTTCTCCACAGATACTTTGTACTAACGCGCGACTATTTGCATTGCTTCAAACGTGCTTCTGGTTCGGCAAATGAACGTGCATCGGATATGGGACAGTTTATATTTAAGGTGAGTAGGAATTGAATATATATAAGGTATATAGCCAACTTCACATTCTTCAATGAGGGCTTGACTCTATCAAGGGCTAAAATAAAACTAAATACTAACATTGCTACTTTTCGCGAGGGAAGAATTTAATCAAACCACAAATAGTTTCAAATTTTTTAAATGTGAAGAACATTTTAAGAAAATTTGGAAATATATATAGAGCTTTCTATTTTAAATAAGCACAATGCAGCATCTAAAAAAGCTATTAGTTACAACAAAAAAATTTTGTTTTAAACTCTGCATAATGGAACTTTTTTTCAACAAAGCTACCAGTTGAAATAATAATAAAGTTTAGGTCTAGAATTTACGGAAATTGCTTCACAACTGATTACTTAAATATATATATTTTAACATATTATATATTTTAACATATTTTTATAGTTATTTTTTTTATATTTATATTTATATTAACAAAATTTACAAAAAAAATGGCACTCTCTTAAGACAATAGAGCTGATTCAAAAACTACTCGATGTTCATACGTACGAATAAAAGGGCAGATAAGTCCATATGTAGCACTATCATATATATCTTTATCATGGAGTGTTATTGTTATGTTATGTTATATGTATGTTATTGTTATGTTATGTTATATGTATGTTATGTTATATATTATGTTATATATGTTATATCTGAGAAGTATATCCTCTTTTGGATACTAGGTATAGTATTTCGTGCAACTGACGAAATCTATTTATAATATTATTATAAGTTCTTCTGATCAGTTTGTTGAGTCTTCAAATTTCCTATTCAGTTATTTATATTCTGCCTGACTTCTTTACTTCAAATATTTCAAGTAACAATCAAAACATATTATTCAGTTAATTATATTGTATCTGGCTTCTTTACTTCCAATATTCAGTTATTTATATTCTGCCTGACTTCTTTACTTCAAATATTTCAAGTAACAATCAAAACATATTATTCAGTTAATTTTACTTCCAATAAGTCAAGTACCAATCAGAACGTATCAGACAAATTTATAAACTCAATGTCTTGTATTTTCGCATTTCGGCTGCTCTCTTCAATCCACTCATGCAACAGTCGCTTTCCATTGCCTGCGACATTGACCAAGTTTGGGGCCCAGAGTAAGCTCAGCTTATTTACAGCCCATTGTAAAATTCTATTACCCACAACAAGATTTATGCAATGCATTATGGCCAACAGAGTTGCCTGCCAGCCTGCCTGCCTGCCCCAATGCCTGACGCGCACGGGCATGCCATAACTGTTGACGGCCATAAACTGCAGGACACACCTTGAAAATGAAATACAAAATGCTTATAAATTGAGTCTCTTTTTTATTTACACCGACACATGGCGTCACGTTTTTATGTAATTGGTTAGGTGTTGCTGTTGTTGTTGTTGTTGTTGTTGTTGTTGTTCTTGTGATAGAGATCTTTATGGCCGAGTCGTCATAGTGGGTGCGTTCATTATGAAAAAGTACATAAGACTAACTAAATAGTGTGACTGTGTTAGGTTGCAGACATTAAAATGGCCTTAATTAAATAATCTGCATAAAGAATACTTGTATATGTAGTATTCATTAATTACATCATCCTTAGCGAAGGTTTTAGTGGAAACGATAACATGTCGAATTATTAACCATTCCTTAAATATAAAGATTCTTCTTTGCAACAGAACCTAAAAACCATTAAATTTTGATTATTTTCTGTTTGACAGTAAACTTCATTTTAGTGTTATTTTCATTAAACTGAACAACTAATCTCTCTTGTATCCGTCTTATATTTTTCTTGATTTAGATTTTATTTGAATATATTTTCATTTTATTGTAAAACTATGCTTCAACTTTTCGCAATTCCAATTATAAGATCTTATTCAGAATCTACCTGTGTAAATAAATCAATTACTTTTAAAATAAACATCTAATGCTTCCCCGCTGACATTCCAACTTTTTAAACAAAACTAAAGAAATGTTAATATTGGTAGCAGTCCATTATATGTATATATGTATATATTTGCTGATGACTTTGGTGTGTATTACTCCTCAAATCTCAAAGCTACCCTTCACTCGCCATCGGAATGTGTGCAAAGTAAGTCATTAAAATGCAGATACTTCCGCCATAAGGGGCAACAACAAAAAATTCGAAAACTTCATTAGTTCGCCAACTTTGCCCAACTCAACTAATTGGCTAAAACTTGCAGCTACTGCATGTTAATTTACCGGCAAGTGCCTAACTACAAACTACCCAGTAGGGATTGCTAAAATGCGCTGCTCTCATCGTTTCTCCTCGCAAGCGGATTGTAAGAAGAAGTGGATTATTTGAGTTGATTATCAGATTCACTTCAGGACAGGGAAGGGAACGTGTTTTCTAATCATTTGATTTTCATTAAGCTGTGGCCAGGCAAATAAATATAGGCGCGTTAAGCTATTCCATCAATATCATATTACTTCAATCAAAAGCTATAACAATTGTAAACAAAGACTAGCAAGGTAACAAGCTTGTAAATAACATACACTACGTATTTAACGTACAAAAAATCTGTTAACATTTCTTCTGAAAATTGGAACCACTCAGTCGTTAGGCCCTACTGGGTATGCGCCCAAAACTCTTACAACACACACATGTGGCACTGCACTGCACTTTTCCCTGGCCCACCAGCTCCGGCTTAGAGCCCACTCAAGCTGGTTGTTGTTGTTGCTTTGCCATTAAAACAAAGCAAATACTGGCGAAATGGTTTGGCGAATATTGCACAGAAACAGGAAAAAGCAAAACACGATTGCAATGAAATTGTTCGTAGCTGTTTTTCTATTGTAGTAGTTGTTGTTTAAACAAATAAGGAAAATGCACATAAAAGCTACCTACAACAGCAATGCCACTTAACATGCAGGCAACAAAAGCAAACAGATCATGGGAAAATGTTTTGCTTTTCATTTCTACTTTTGTTGAACAGTTTTATTTATTTTTTTGCACTTTTCTGCTCAAATCTCGGAAACTAACGTCAATAAATATGTAGTCCCAGCATCGCACTGACGTCGTATCTGCTGGCGTTGTTGTTGTAGTTGTTTAAAATTAAAATAAATTGTTTAACTGAATTTTGTTGCTTAGAAGCTGCGCGGGCATTTTCAGGATAAACATTATGAGATAAATGGCAGCAAAGAAAAGATTTTAAATGATCTAAAAACATTGCAAATGCAAATACCGGAAAATGTTAAGCATATAAAGGAAGTTGTAAACATCATTGGAAAAATTGAGAAATGTTTTTAAAGTAATTACGATTTTATTTAATGAATAAATAATAGAAATATTTTATTTGAATGCTAGAAATGAATACAAACATGTTCACGAATCTAAACAAATTGATTGGCCATCTAGCAAGTGCAAGTAAAAAGGAATTTAATAAATATTAATCATTTTTCTTAACGACACATTTTGATGGGCTAGTTAGAAACATTTTTATATAAACTAAGCGGCAACATTTTTGGCAACGTTGTGTAATGTGAAATGTAATAAGAAATGATTTTTCTAATTTGAAATTGAATATTCTGCTGTGATGGCGAATCACATAATAATTTTCACAATAAATTAAAAAAATTATTTCACGCACTGCTGACCTCTAAAAATTCCAAAGCATGCCCAAAAAAGGTCATCAAATCTTACAACCCACACGCTGCTATCCAAGACAACAACCAGCCATGAACATTAAAGCCGAAGCCACTGAACGGCGACCGAGCCTAAGCTCCCATTAGATCGAGCTGGCGGCATCTTTAACCATATTTTTATATATGTACGTGTATGTATATATTTTCATTGCCGTGCTGTTGTTGTTGTTGTTGTTGTTGCTGCTGTTGTATTGCTTAATTGACAGTCAACGACACGTCAATGTAATCAACTTAATCAATAAGGCGTGCAATAGACGCACAGACAGTGAAGCGAGTGAGAGATTGCGGCACCTCATTTACAGTCTAATTATTTAATTCGATTTTTGCATAAATTTCAAAATGAGACTGAAATTTTCGCGGGCTACTGATGCGTTGAAACGCTTTTACGTCGCTGCATCCCGGGGGGAAATCAGACGCGAAATGTAACGATGCTTGATAATTACAGGTGATGGGCTTGCTACCTGGTTGCCGAACTGACGGATTGGCGCTCTGCCGTGGAGACTGGCTGTCGGGGCCTGCGGCAACAAAAGTTGCCACAAACTTACAGTTTTTGCACTTTGACAGTGATTGAAATCAATATTGATTTTCAGGAGAGCTCTGCGGGCTCTGCAAATTGATGCTTCGATATGCGGGCGGATTCAAATGGGTGGAAAATACCCATAGGCTGGGGTTAAGATGAGTTCTTAATCATGTTATAATGTCAGTTTGATTAAGAGATGCATTTAATTTATTTAATGTACACGTTCAGTAAAGGCACAAGCACTGAGTTCATTTTATTACACCATAAATGATAAATGACTTGGCAAACAATAGCCAACTCACCTCAGTTAGGACCGCGAACTGTGTTGTTTTATTGGCACATATTCACCACACACCACAGATTTGGGAAAACAATCAGAATCATGAGCACAAAGAGAACTTAAATATCAGCCACACTCAAACGGTACGCAGTGTTTGGCAGCCACTGGAGCTCGCACTGGGGGGCTACAGTTTGAGAAGCACATTGCGCCGGTTTGCGTTTATTTCTTCAATGAATTGAAGTATAATTCATAAAAAATAAGCTAAAGAAATACATACGCCATGATAATAAGTACACAGACTATAGATAGTTAAACAGAAATATCTATGCATATAGTACAAGAGCTCTTACACGTTTGTATATACACATATGTAAGTATGTACGTACATACATATGTATGTATGTATGTACATTTGTTGCTGCACGCCGCAAAACCGTATTGAACAAGTAAATATACATAATTCTAATAGAGTTGCAAAATATAAAGCATACTTACATTAATTTCCAATGGCATTCCTTTAATTATTAAAACCACATTTTCACTCACTTAAAAAACAAAACAAAAAGCAAGGCGCTGCGCAAATTCTTTGAACTCACCAATACACACACACATACATACATACATAAACGCATGCTATGCATGTAATATGCACACAGCACACATCTCTCGCGGCAATTACGTCTTATTTAACACAAAATTTGCATATTTTATGCACAACTAAATATGTGCACTTGTTAGAAAATAATTTAAAAAATATTTAAAGCACAAATTAAACGATTTCTAATTGTTTTCGGTAGCTGCAATGCCCGACGGCGCGACGCGTTCGACAGGTTCAACAAAACTAAGCCTTGCGCTGCAGTTGGCGGCAAAATGCTCTCTTAAAGAATGCAATTTGAAAGCAAAGAATCGAAAAACGTAACTGTAAATCCGCTCTCGCGCATGTCAAAGATCACAACAATGGGTATTGCATTGTCTTTTATGCAAGGCTCTCTCTTATTAAAATAAAATGAATTACATGAATCGAATATTAGAGGAGAGCAATACGCTTTGTGTGTGTGTGTGTGTGTGTGTATGTTTGTAGTCCATATTTGAGCTGCTGTTAGAGCGTGGGGAAATAGACTTACGTTTTTGCAAGGAAATTTAGGAGGGAAATATTTAGAGGCGCTCTTTCATATCAATTTATTCAGGTTGGTATTTATTTAAGGGCACATATTTAAAGTTCAAGTCTAAATTTGGTTCAATTCCCACACATAAAAAGTAATATTAATAATAACGACAACGCAACACGCATTATGAAAGGCTTACAAGCCATAGATTGACATTGCAAATCGATAGCCATATGAGGTCACAAATGATACAGTTATTTAGCCTGTATGTCAAATAACAACAACAACAACTGCAACAACAACCCAAGCAATGCCCCAACAGAAAGCTCCATTGAAAGCCACACGGGCTCGACAGCTTTGCGTTATTTTGACAGCCAATGTTATTATAGATGACAAATTATTCAGCAATTTTGGAAAACCAATAATTTAGACAACAACAGCAACAGCCGTTCAAATGCATATCGGCCTTGAAAATTTAGACAACGAGTCGCCGTTGATTCGAAAGTGACACTCCGGGGGTCACAAAGTGAAGTGTTACTTGTTTATTAGCAATAGATATGCTCGTAATACTATGTTTTACTTATTTCGACATGATGTGGAACTGGGAAAATACATAAATAAATACTTTGTGAATAAAATATATTGTGGGCCAAGAAATTCCAGGGACTACTTTGAAAGATATTTGGAATTAGATGGATGCTTTTTCAGTGGCCCACTAAATCTTTTTTATATGTATTTAGGCTTTTATTTATTTATATTAAGGTATATATAGCTTTGCAAGTATTAAATAACTTTTAAATTATTATGCTAGGCATTACAATTTCCCAACAGATTTATATAAATTATAAATATTAAATTGTAATTAAGACTGCACCTAGTTTAGGTAGTATTTGTCTATAACTATAAGTTTAATTTAAATTATAAATATAACAGTATAATTTAAAAAAAGAGTCATTACAAATCTGAAGCCTTAGTTTTTAAAATCTAAAGCAGGTATACAATAATTTCCTTTGCAGTCTGAAGCATATCTTCTTAAAGGAAAAAGAGTTTTTCGTAATTAGTGTCACGCCCATTTGTCACCATCCTTTGCTTCCTCCCCTCCTTGTCTATCTATTTACCACTCGCTTTAACTATGTCTGCAGTTTGCTGCTCGATTTAAAGTCCTCCTCTTCTCCCCCATTTGCCCAGATTTTAGCCACAAAGTTTCTTTTCCATGTAGAACTTTTATTGAACTCCTCTGTCTTATAATGTAGCTGATGGTGTTTTATTTATTTTTGTTGCTCTGCCTTTTTAGCTTTATGCGACTTTTATGCCTTTTTTTGGGCTATTTTATGGCTGTGAGTTGCTTGTAATGCGTTATACTACATGCCCCAAGTAAAAACTATACGAGGCCATTAGGCAAATATGTCAGCAGCGTGTGGCAATTAGCCAAGTTATTTGATATAAAACGTTGCCACCGGTTCGCTCAACTTTTGCCTAGAATTCGTTTTGCAGCTCTTGCTCCAATTTTTTACGATTATTATGTTTTTCTATAATGGCCAACATGCATAATTAAGTCGTTAAAGCGCAGCAAAAGAAACAGACACCAGGTCAGAACGGCATGAATGTTTGTTGTGATTTGTACTAATGTTGATAGTTCTATTTTTATATGCATCTCAGGTAGTATGTGAAAATGTATATAGTTTCTGAAGATAGCAGGCGGAACAAAAGACAGGAGTATGTCGTCTCTTTCCAATAGGTTTTATAGGTTTTATTTTATTTAAAGAAGTCTGTATCAAAATTGGTTTAATAAGCTGCCATAGTGCCTGAGCTAGAACAGGCGGTTTTTCTGATGGAACGGTTTTCTTTTAAAAATTACTCTTTATTCTATTTCAAGAACATCTGTACTTAGTTTTGAGTTATTTGCTCGAATAGTTCCAAGAGATATTTACTATACGTGTTTGCTCTTTTTAACATTTTTTTTATAAATAAAGCTTTAGGAAACTCTAGTATCAAAAATAATTTAGTTAGCTGCACTAGTTCCTGAGTTACTATAGGCTGCTTCTTTGACAGAAGAGTTTCCTGTAAGCGTGAGCATCAAAATTACTCTTCGGTCTATTTCAAGTATAATACATGAAGTACTGTACTTAATATGGTTAAGTTTGTTCAACTAGCTCCCGAGTTACATGAGGTATTTATTACGTTGGACTTCTTATCTTCTGAGAAATTCAATATTTCATCTCTTTTGAATAATTATCTTATGATTACAGCATTAAAAAGCTTTTATATTGAAAACAATTTAATTAGCTTCACTTGTTCCTGAGTTACTAGAGGTTGCTTTTATAAGGGAAGGGTTTCTTACAGTCATGAGTATCAAAAGTACTATTTGTTCTATTTCAAACATACTTTTCCTTAATATCATTTAATTCGCTTATATAGCTCCAGAGTTACAAGAGGTATTTGTTTCGTGGGACTGTTTATCAAACAAAAATACACAGTTTCAACATCAACATAAAATTTATTTTGCATTATACAAGTTGAATTATCCTAAACATTGGCTGGACCGTGTCAACATAACTTTATTTATTCAAGGTATTATTTCAGGTAGAAAAGTTTGCTCTTAAGAAATGTATATAAAAGGCATAAGTGTTTTAAATACGAAACTGCACAAACTTTTAGCTCTTTACTAGCCACAGGTCTAATTTGGAAGTCACAAACGAGGTCTTTAAAATATCTTTAAGCTTTAGAAAAGCAGCTTAGCTATATAATATCATTAGTAGCCAAGCTTTGTACACAATTGCCCTAGTCTGTAACTAGGCCATCTGTGAATTGGCTGAATAATGGTGGAATCAGTGGAAGCAACACTCCCACACTCTTAGCCCAAAAAAATATAGAGCCCCTGCTGAGCAGTGAAGCGGCTTAACCTTTAGCTCCATTGTTAAATGTTACCCAGACTGATGATCTATTGTATTCAATGTTGCAATTGCAGGTGAAACTAGTGGATGTGGAGAAGGTTGAATGGTTGAATCGGCGCTCATATAGTGCCATCGGATTGCTGCTGGGCCGTGAGGGACGCGTGCTCCTGCGCTGTGATGACGGCCTTGAGGATTGGTTTGAACTTTTGGAGGTAAGTTTGCAATAATAAATATGATATTCATATTAAAATGCCTATGTCTCTTTAGGAATGCACTATGACCTCCAAGGAGCGTCGACGTGCGCTGAAAATAGCGCAAGGTCCCCGCTCTCGTGCCTCGCTGGCTGCACCCGTTTCGCACGCCTCGCTCCAGTCCCAGCATTTCGGCCTTGGCAGCAACTATTCCAGCGCCCTGGACGACTGGCTTATGGCCAATGGCAGCGGCATGGGCAGTGCTGGCTTGGCGCGCCACAAGATCGGCGCCGGCAGTCTGAATGGCTATGCAGGCGGCAATCCTTTCCTGTTCTCCGACTCAGTACCCGATCTGAGTGCTTTGAATAATGAGAATCACAATCATCACTTGAGTGGCATTTCCACAAATCATTCGACACCCCAAAAGATTCCCCATAACAATGCGAATCTCAGTCGCTATTCGAATGGTTATTCCTCGGCCCAGAATTCCTTTACGCAGCCAGGTGGTGGCGCACTCTACGGCTCCCCACGACGCATTTTTATAAACAGCAGCTTCGGTTCCAATCAGGTGGTCGATGAGGAGACTGCCGAGGAGGCTGAGGTTCAGCTGCGAAGACCGCGACTATTTAGGAACATCAGCGCGCAGCCGGATAATGGCAATGAGCTGGACAGAGATTGGTTGTATCGCAAGCCGCGTGCCCCCACCGATATGCGGCACTCAGGTGAGTTATTCGAACTGTCTTAGTATCTATTTATAATATAGATTTTATATATGTATGTAGTTTGAATGACTAATTGTTGAGCTAAAGAAGTAAGGATAACTCAATAATGTATGGGACATTTACTCGATCGTATGCTTCAGACTAACTCCTAATTACAGGCTGCGCTCTTGCTGGCTGGCAATTTTATTCAAGAGAGAACTTTCCATTACTTAGCTTAGTAAGAGAATAAGGCGTGAGAGCGCCAATTGGCCTGCTTTAATAAAAGAGAGGCCACTGAACCGCCTAAGGCCGGTAACTGCCGGTACGGCACAGTAATTGCTGTGGTTCGCATTATTATTTCATAAATTATTGATTGATTTAAAGCAAAACATGATTTAAAGCAAAACATGACTTAAAGAAAAACATGCTTCAAAGAAAAAAACTTTGGCACAGTTTGATTTTAAATTAACAGGTAATCTTAAAGCTAACATAACAACAGTATGTTATAAAAGATGGCGCAGAGCATAATAAAAATAATAAAAATTAACCAACATAAGAGAGAGCGCGCTCTTTAGCTTTCAGCTCTTCACAGAACAGCGTTGCCAACTTTTTAGAAAACAAAACAAGCTGTTATGGACGTGAAGACGATTTAAATAAATTTAAAATTAATTTAAATAGAGAACAAACAAAAGCAACAAAACAAATTTTGTTTTTCTGCTGAAACAAAAAGCTGAAAATAGCTAAACGCATTTTTAAAAAGCCAGAATTGCCGTTGAACGCAATTTGGAATTTTTTTCTGCAATATGATTGCAAAAACAGCCAGATTTGACGGGAAAGAAGCTAAATTGGCAGCACTGTCGCAGAAAGTCTAAGCTTTTAAAACCAAGACTTCAGATTATACTCTTTACTTAACTAAGTGAAATGCCTTTACAGCCACTACTATTAATATTTTGTAAAATTATAAATCTTTTGTGCCAACTTTCTTTAGTAATATCTGAAAAAGTTCAGCTCTGGGCGGACAGGCAAATAGTTTGCAAAAGAAAAGTAACTTCCAAATGAAATAAGATTGGATTTTCGACATACTTTCGACATAATGTTCTGTGCAAATTATCTAAGAATTGGAACAGAGGCTTGGTGCTTGACAAAATGAGTTTTTGATTATTTTAAACAATCTATAGATATAGTATAGTGACAATAATTGAACCCTTCTGCAATTACAAACAATACTTAAAGTACTCGAAGATAGAAAAGCGAGGGATAGAATTTAATAACTCTTTCACAAGACTTAAAGAATAATGCCATGTGATCTCCTATATATAGTAATGTGAACATTAATTGATCTTTCAGTTCAACCGATGCTGCCCACCCACAACGCCAATGTAAGCGGCAGCAATGCTGCTCTGGCAGCGCCCAGCAAAACGGAACTGGACTACTCGGCCCATGACAGTGGATTGGACACGCCCCCATCTACCCATCGACCCTCCAGTTATCGGGAGGCCAGTCGTGATAGTACGGAAACTAATGGCAGCTCTTCGCGCGGCACTCTGCTCAACAACTCGCCCGGCGGCAGCTTTCGGGCCAAGAAGCTGAGCGCCAAGGTGGGAAACTTTAGTCATCAGGTGAGCAGCGATGTCCATGGATCCCGCTACTCGGTCCAGGAGCAGCGCATATTGAAGATGCGCAACGAGGAGGATCGTTGCGCCTCCATCAAGCTGGCCAATCGTTTGAATCACAACAACGAACAGGCACCCACTTCTATGTACGATCCAAATCAGAATCGCTACTACAAGAATGGCAATGCCACGCCCCCCATATCGCTGACGCCCCAACACACGCCTCTGAAAATGCACGGCTACGGCAACGGAAATGCGAATGGCAATGGTTCGAATGGCAATGGCACGCTCAATGGCAATGGCACCGCTCTGAACGGATCGGCCATATATCGGGAGCGATATCAGCATCCGGCACTGGCGGCCATCATAAACGAGGCGCAGGGCCTCAAGTTCCGAGGTAGGTGGCCCTTTGTCCACGGTTTACTTAAATAGCGCGATTACACCTCCTGGGTTTTGGCATGTGGACTCATAATTCATTTCATTTTCATTTTTGTTACACACAATACTATATATATTTACGATATCTTAAGAACATCTGTACATAATATTTCGCACATATTTTTAATACCTTAATAAAATTCCATTTGGACACAAATAAATACCTTTCAAGATTAATAAAAACAAGCATTCGCATCGCACTCCTCATTATTTTTTATTACACCCTAATATCATTATATTATTTATGATAATACTTATTTAACATAACATTATTGTTTACTTTATAATATCATCATATATATGTAAAACTGATTGATAGAAATATATGTTTCTGAATTATAATCAGTTTTTCATACTAAAGTTTTCCCCTTTTGGAGTTTAAATTTCAAAAACTTCTTTCCATTGAATATATTTCCTTCTCACGTTTTTCTTATTTTTCGACCAATTGTTAGGGAACTATCGATAAGTTTTCGCCTTATTAGTTAACAGTGTAAATGTTTTTTTATATCTTATTTATTTGATTTTAAATTGGAAATTAACATTGAATATGAAAATGTTTCAAACGTACGTTGCAGACCCTTTTTCCCGCTTCGTACAAATATGAACCAGAAATATAACCCTAAAATCGAGGAATTGTTTTGTTTGAGATGGAAATACTTTTCAGGCGATAAAATAGATTTTAATGACCATTAAGTTACAGTTGATTAAAACCAATTTCAAATAATTCAGTCCTAAAAACAGAAACCATCAGTTTTATATTTATTTTATTTCTTTTTACGTGTCTCTCCATAAAAGTTGTTTCAGAATCTGTCTATATAACATAAATGCTATAGGGGTAATTAGAGCAACAAGTAGGAGAGGATAAGCGTTCTATTGGTTATATTTGTAATTGTTATAAGAAAGCCTAAAATATAGAAGATTATTTTCTTCATTCCTCTTTAAATCTATTTTCAAAGTATTACAATTAATTTGTTAATCAAATGGAATAAATAAATAATAAAATCATTCAGCACAATTATTATCATTTTAGAGATGACAGAACTAAATTTCATTTATAAATTTAATATAAAATATTAAATGAAAATATATTTCGAATCCATTTATTTTCAAATTCTAACACAGTTCTCTTTAATTTTAATATCAAATCACTGTTCACAAATGCATTCTCATTTCATCATTTAATGCTCAGACAGACAAATAATTTGCACGCAAACTTATTCAAGTTGTCATGGAAATCATCTTATTTGAAGAAATATTCATAAAATTGCGTGCAAATTATTTGCTCATCTGACCAGAACATTAGAAACCATACCCACAACTGGAAATCAATGTTTCAAATATTGTTTTCATTATAGAAAGAAAATAATTCAAAACACTGGCTAAAAATGAATTTCCATTTCTTCCAACATGGTCAGACAGGCAAATAATTTGCGCACAAACTCAAACAAATTATCATTTACGAAACTGTTTAAGATTTAAGTTGCATGCCCTTTTTGTAGAAAGTTTGCAAATTTGCGTGCAAATTATTTGCTCATCTGACCAGGTGGTCACACAACTGGAAATCAATGTATAAAATCCATTATTTTTTAATTTAATTGCATGTTAACTACATTATTCTCACAACTTAAAGAAGAAACGGAGAACATGTGGTAAAAAAAACCTTCAAAACCACAAATAAAACCAACAACAATAAAAAAAACACCAAGCATGCTGCATAAATAAACAAAATACAAATAAAAACACGGCATTATCCGCCCACGATTGTCATATCGTTGAGTTGAATCGTTGAGTAATTACAAACCGATATCCTTCCATCTAAATGCCTCTTGTAGAACGCGCCTATTCGGACAGTCAGCAACGACGCCTCAACAACAACAACAACGGTTCGACGCCCGTGCCCGCCTCCCCGCTGGCCCAGAGACGCAATAATGTGCCGATCTTTGGCACTCCAACGCGCGTATAGCGTCTAAAGGTTTAATATCCCCCACATAGAGTATATATTACGAATCTATAAGATGCAAACCAATAATAAGAGTAATGCTGAGTTATAGATTACTATTAGCCCTTATAGTAGTATATCGTATATCGCTGATGGCCGACTGCTCCATTAGTTGAAGTCCAAAAGAGTAATTAACTTGACTATTCATGAATATATACTATAATTAACAAAAATTGATTTAACTTTAGTCCTAAGTAGCTCTGCAACTTGAACCATTCAAACGAAATTAAATAAAGTGCGTAGTTACATTAAGAATATTCTATTGAATTATGTACTATACTATATCTATGGAATTTAATTAGCAATTGTAAACACAAGAGTCGATATTACAGATATACTTAGTAGCATAGAATTAGTTACCTTTTGCAAGTAGTTCTAGAACGCTACATTGTCCAGCTTTACGTAAAAGTATGTGTATAAATAAAATGTGAATTACAAACAAAAAATCATGCCTTATATAGTGTTTTCTTTTTGAAGAACTGAAATGGGATCCTAAGGTTGCAGTTAGATCTCCGATATAAAAAGCTATACTACAAAAAATGTAAGTTTGGTATTTGATTATCGGTTCGCTGTCTGTTTTCATCAGTTTTGAAACAAGTTTATTTTCTTTTTGAAGAATTGAAATGGGATCATCAGCATTCAAAGCAAAAATCTAATATGGAAAATCCTCAACTATAAAAACTGTATGGTATTTGATTATGATTTACATTTAACTTGCATCAGTTTTGAAACAATTTTATTTTCTTTGTGAAGAACTGAAATGGGATCCTCAGCATTCAAAGCAATTAGATCTCCAATCTAATGTGGAAAATTCTCAACTATAAAAACTGTATGGTATTTAATTATTTTCATTTCCAGGACGACCAATGTCCACCAATTTTGTAATAAGTATTTAACCCACACCAGATCAATAAGTCATATAGTTTTTGGGCTTTTTAAATGATTGTTCAATTACCCTCAACAATTTATATACTTATTTAAATGAAATCTCTGAGAAATCTGTTGCTTGTCTATTTGAACTAAGAATTAATATTAATTAAATAACCATTTAATATCCCAGAATAGTTACCATACCCTGACATCATTGGATTCGTAAATTTCCATTTTCTACATACATTTCTTAACCTATTTTCCAACACTATTTCCCACACTACAACTCCCTAAACACACACAGTTAAGCTTATGGCTTAGACTTTCATAGTTTATCTGTAATTTAATTTGCCTTTAAGCTGTATTTGAATAAATAAATAAATATAAATAACAGGAGAGAGCTCTGAACTGTACAGAAATTGTTGTCTTAGACTTGACCGATTTGGATGAAATTTGAAATAAAAGTACATAATTGTATATACATATATAAATAACAAATATGAATCGCAAACCGCATTAACGAAATGTAATGCGCTTTTCATAAAGGCTACTGATTTCATCCGTTTAGGTCCAATAAACATTATTTATCTAACACTGTGTGTTAGTGTTGTGTAACAGTAGTTAGAAAACACTACTCAATGAAATGAACTTCAGACTCCTCAGGCAAACTGACAATTTAGTTAGTTAGCCTTCGACTGGCATACGGACGGGACGTATTTATTTTAATTTTTTCACTTTTTGTTTTTTTATTTATGCAAGATTTTTGCTTTGTTTCATTATGTTTATTTTAAATCAACATCTCTAGTAGGGTTTTTTTTCTCGACAACTTTATGGGCCATTTGTTTGTTTTAAAAATTAATGCCATTGTCAATATCTTTGGCAAATGACGCAGAGATAAAGCTTCGTATAAACGTCGTATGATAAAAGGGTTTTATTTGTTTTATACTTTTGGTAGTTAGATGCTACGGTCCATGATAAACCACCAATATATCATGATATCTTTATATTTGTTGTGGATTTTTAGTTTAAAAATTCGATGCCATGGTCAATGACATGGCTAAGCAACAAAGGGATCAAGCTTTGTCGTATAGAGATGGATTTTTTTCAACAATATTAATATTATTAATATTTTATATTATTTTTATTATAATTTTATATTATTTTGTTTATCAAAAAAATAAAATAAACTCGTGTTCTCTAGGGACTAGGAGCGACAACATACCAAGTTTTGTTTCCGAAATCCAAACGGACAGACAGACGGACACGGCTATACCTATTTCTCTCGTCCTGATGATAATATATACAATTACGTGCTGATTACGAATATATGGAAAAAGCTGCGTACTTCCTTGTAGTCAAATTAAATTTCTAAATAAATATGCTATAAAATAAATTAAAAAACATTTTTTTTACACTGTTGTCTTTTAAAATAGGGCATAAAAATAGTCATTTGTAGTCAAATTAAATTTCAAAATAAATATGCTATAAAATAAATTAAAAAAATTTTTTTTTTACAAAGTTGTCTTTTAAAATCTTCACTTAGGTCGAACAAAGTTCTTTAAATCATTCTAATAATTATCAGAAATCGATATGACTAAGTGGATGGGACCTTTAACGCCCACATAAGTTTTAAAATGAAATTCGTAAAAATCGGAACATTTAGAATAATAGGTCTCTCTATAATGTCCATTTATTTACTATATTCATTTTTTAACACTTGGGTTTCCAAAGATGCACGCCCTTAGTAGCACTTGTTCGCATTGAAGAGCGTTGCTAAAAAAAACCCCCGGCCAAGCTCAAGAATGAGCTTTGGCGCGAAAGCTCCCTCGTAAGGAAATTGCAACCCCCGTGCGAGTGCAAATGGAGCCCTGAGCTGAGAGAAGATGTGTTGCTATTTAGCACAGCGCTTTTTTCGGAGTCAACAAAAAATTTTCAGTCAGCTTCGATACGCAAAGGAGGCAGAGCCCCGAGAAAGGTCCACTTGAAAATTGTCGAGAAAAGGAGCAATAATACAGCAGTAAAATCAACAGAAAAGGATGCGTAGTCGCACCGAGCTGGTCACCACGACATTTGTTGACTCCGACGATGAGGACTACAGCGAGGACGATGATTCCGAGGAGGACTGGCGTCCCACCAAGAAAAAGCAACAGAAGCAGACACGTGGCGATGGTGGAGGTCGAAAGCGCAAAGCAGCGCCAGCAGCTGCCAACAAAGCGAAGCGACGCGCCTCCAAGGTAAGCGGCGATGACTTCGACACTGCCGACGAATACGATTTGGATTCGGAGCCCAGCGAGGATGAGTTCGAGGACGCCATTGAGTACGCGGCAGCCAGCACCTCGACCAAGCGCTCCCAGAGCCTGCCACCCAAGAAGCAGTTCGTCAAATTGTCGCAACTCGACTTGCTGCTGAACAAACGGGATCTGCTGGCACAGGATTGGCTGCAGAACAGTCGCTTGTGTCTGTGGCGCAAGGACGAGGACACGAATCTGTTGCAGAAATATTTGCGCGTTAAGGCAACGGCAGCTAACATGGATGGCGATGCCGCGGAAGATGGCGAGCAGTTACTCTTCACATCCAGCTCGGTGGTAAGTGAATAGTTTTGTAGGCAAAGGGATTAGGGAAACCCAGAAAAGTTACAGGAATATTTTCAATATTTAAACAAATTTAATTACTTTCATTTAAAATACAAAAACTCCAAGCAACTTTTATGATTCTCCTTGCCAAAATCTATATTTTAAACAAAATTTCTTGGCATTATTAAAATGCTTTATCCACATTTATTTTGTACTATATAGTATTAGACTAGTCCTGGACTAAAAAATCACATCAAACATGCTTTTTCGAAACTATATAATTATGCTGACAAAGGTTTATTTTCCTATTTAAAGAACACATTAATAGAGCAGTCCCAAAACTGTAATAAAGTTCATCCAATTGGAGAAAACTCGAATATAGATTTTTTGATTAGTTTAGGAACTGAAGATGCTTACTAATAATAGCTTTAAAGAATACAAAATAAAATTGTTGATTTATTTATTAGCATTGGTTCCTTTGTACATTATGTTTAAAAATATATTTTAAATATCGGTTGCTGCATATTTAATTCCTTTAGAAACTGCCCATCATTTGAATTAATTATAATTATTGTTTGTTTCCCAGTATTCCAGCTGGGATGAGCAACACATTAGCGATTTTATTAACGTTAAAGTCAATTGTTTGGATCCAAACAATCGACGCATCAAGCTCGATGATTTGCCGGCTCTGAAGAAATTGGCAGACGAATTGCGCTCAACAAAGGAAAATAAACCAGCGGCAGAGAACACTGATGAGAACGATAATGAGGATGAAACCACTAGTCAGCAATTGGCGAATGAAAGTCTGAACGAGGAGCCCACAGCGTTGGAGGAACAGCCCGAAGACGATGAGCAAGAAACTGATAATGAAGACGATGAGGATGAGGAAGACTAGAGCTACTAATACTATTTTAAAATGAAACCTATAATTAACATTAAATTTTAAATGTAATTCAAACGTAAAATCAAAGGCCAAGTTAGCATTAGAAAACCAATTTCAATTGCTGCAATATGAAAAGAAATCACATTAAACATAATTTAGAAAATAAAATCAATGAACAATGATTTCAAATTGCATAACAATTTGCATATATTCCGCGTGCGTTCCTTGAGCCACAAAATTCATGATATACAAGGATTTTCTCTTTGAGACAAAATGTACACTGAGCTTTGCACAAAAGAATTGGAAAACGAAAAAAAATAAATTAAGTTGAGCCAGAAACGTCGGTTACCGACGACGTTCGCCTTTGACGGTTTTCCGCTTCTCCTTCTTCTCCTCCCGCTGTTGCTTTTGCTTCTCACGATCCTCCTTATCCTTTTGCTTCTTAGCCGCGCTATCCAAACGCGCCTGTTCGCGTTTCTCCTTGGCCAATGCCAGGACATCGGACTTGTTGGTGTTGGGGGCAAAAGCGGCAGCACTACTTGGCTCAGCGCCCTCCGCGTCTGAGGAGGCTTCGTCTTCCACGCTGACAACAGTCTGTTTAGAGAGATAGAAGTGCCATTAATATAATGAACGCGCCTCCCGTTCGTGTTCCGTTTCTATTTCTATAGCTCTAGATGTGGATGCCTGTTCGTGCATTTGCCGAAGCCGGGACTCGCGTTCTTGTTCCGTTTCTATGGCATTAGATGTAGATGTCCTTTCGCAAAGATCTTTCAAACGTGATTCGCGTTCATCGCCATTTTCAGCTCATCTTTTACATTAATTTTTTCTTATAGATGCGTTTTTCATTGGCATTTTATTTTATTCATTTTTTTTGCAATTTTATTTATTGGCGAACGAAACACTAACAAACAAAATGAGCATAAATAGACCAGAAAACTTTAATTGATCGAAACGAAATTTCGCAGGATTACCCACGAGTCTATTTGGAATATTGCTACAAAATTTGATCAAAATCGGTTGAGCGGTTTCGGAGTCTATAGCGAACATATCCAAAAAGCCATAAAACATTAGAAGATTTGGAACAGCAGGGAATATCTTGAGTCTGATATCATTGCAGGATGCAATGGGCGAATAAAAAAGAACATTTATCACTTCTAGCCTTAACGAATTTCATCAATAATAATAAAAAAGTTATCTTTATAAATAATTTAAAAACATTTACAAAAAGGTCACAATTTTGAAAGAAAAAGAAGGAAAAGATCGCTGGGACTTTTATCGAAACCTTCATCTTTTACAATTTAAAAGGCACCATTTGAAATAACTATAAAAATATAATTAATTGGGGTTTGTAAGATTTCTAATTCTAAGCAAATGCGAGATTGGTTTGAGAAATGCCGGCTTTTGTAATGAAATGAGAAAAAGGTTAGCTAAATAGCTGAACGAACCTGTGAATATTGCGCCAAAATTTGTTGCTTTATGCGTAACTCCTCGGCGGTATATTGACGCTCTTTGGCAGCGGGTTGCAATTTTTGCTGTTCCAGCAATTTAGCCAACTGGGCATTGACATCGATGTCCAGACCTTTCTTGGGCGGCTCATCGGCACTGGGATGGCTTTGCAGCCACTTTTGTAGTATATTGCCAACCAGCTCATCAATGTTGGCCGCCTGCAACATAAAGTGCAGCAATATAAATAAATGACCTTTCATATATGTATGTATGTATGTATATACACGTAGGCATTTGTACTTACGCCCGTTTCTTTCAGAATCCCCTCCAGCGCCTCTGTCTTTTCATCCTGCGTGTCATCGCCCTCCAATATCCCAACAATATAGGTGCCAAACACGCTTTCGTCCGTATTCAGGGCACGCAGCTGTTCGTCGAGCCACCGTTGGAACTCGGCAGTGGCGCTCATGGCTAACAATTTGTTAGAGAAATGCCACCAAATAAAAATAAATGCAGGCAGGAGAGAGGCAACGCACAAAAACCACACACGGTTTGCGAAGCAGTGCTGCCAAGTTCGTTGCCATCAGCTGTGCTATCAGCATTCAAACTTTCGGTATTAAAATACCACAACAAAAAAGTGTGGGCACATTGTTACAGCTCTACGAAAACAAAACAACACCTCAACAGTGGGAGCTCGCAATGATTAATTAATTGCACATAGTATAAGCATTTAAATCATATCAAACTCTATGCATGACTGCATATAAGGGTATAGTGGTCTCCATTTCAACCACGCAAGTGCTGGTCTTAGTCAATAATTGCATTTTTTCAATGCTAACGAGAGCGACATTCTAACGAATGTTTAGTTTTTCGCGCGCTTCTTCACCAATCGGACGTGTTTAAAATTTTGCGCTTGATTGCAAAAGTTCATACACGCTATCAACTTGTGAGATTAATTTGCTTGATTAGCGCTAAGTGCATGAACAGCAACTATGATGCAGAGCGTTGTAAGAGGCGCCCCAAATGCCTGTAAGTACAAGTGAATGAACAACTTTCTCTTCACTTTCCCCAGTTATTGCTCTTACGTTGTATAATCAGTTTGTATTGACATTTTCATTTAAATAATGCATTTCTTTGTACGCTTGAAACAAATGCAGCTACTAAAGAGGATAGCCAGGAAGAAGGAGCACTAACGGCTGAAGCCTATTTGGAGCGCCTGCTGAACGAGGGCAGCCAGGAGGGCGACAGCGGGTCGGACTTGGAGCTGCCGCCATGGTACGATGAGCAGCTTTTTAAACGGTTAGTCATTTTTGTCGGAGCTAATTAACCATACAATGGCTAACACAAACATCTAGAAAATAGGGTCTAATCGATTTTTGATTCTCACGTTTTGTTGTTGCTGTTCAGTTATTTGGTTTTTTAATTTAAAAAAGTAACTCAAAAAGTGAGATCAACAGCCAGGCCAGTTCGAAAGATTGATTTCCACTGTTAATTTATCTTGAAATGAACTAATTTCTCTTTTCTACTTGTAATTTCATTCATTTTTTTCAGCGGCCAAGGCTATTTGCAAAAATATCGGATGGTCATGTTCTCGGGCATGCTGGCCGGTCTGATCGCCGTACTCGCCATACCCTCCATACTGCGTGTTTTGCAATTCACGCGCCAATCATCGAATGCTTTCATGGCCTATCGACGCTATATACGCACGATATTCCATACACAAGCCTGGTATTCCTATCCCGTCGGCAGCGACAAGTCAAGCAAGTTTTGGACCAGCATCGCCGCAGTACGTAACGCCCATTCGCGCTCTAGCAAGGCCAGCGCACGCTGTGGTGCCGGCCAAATCACGCAAAAGGACTTGGCACTCACGCAATTCGGATTCATTGGCTTCATAACAGTCGGGGCACATCGCATACAATTGTACGATGAGGATTTCCTGGAGGCCACCACGCACATGTGGCGCGTCCTGGGCTATCTGTTGGGCATCAAGGATGAGTACAATGTGTGCGGTCGCAACTGGGCCGAGTCCAAGGAGCGCTTGGAAATTGTAATGGATCGAGTTTTTGCTCCGGCGCTGGAACAAACTAATTCGGAATTCGATGAAATGACGAAGGCGCTCATTGACGGCCTTTGGCATGTCAACATGATGTTATCCTTCAAGGCGCAGGTGTTCTTCACAAAACGACTGGCCTACTGCCGTGGCTACGAATACTACAGCTTCGATTATCGAGCTGGCGAGCAGCGCGATCCACAACAGATGCTATATTACTACGATATGAAATTGTGGGATCGCTTTATAGTTAGTTATGGTTTATTCCTTGTCACCTATTTGCATAAATATGCCATTGTGCGCTGGTATCTGAACTTGCGCGTCTGGTTAATGGATCTATTCATCTACTATTTCCCATATGCGGCCATTTGGCGTTGGGGCTGGAAGTCTGCCTATGTTCGCATCTTTAGCAAAGAAGGCCAGGCTCAAGAGTTTCATTTGCACTTCAAGGAGGAGTAAAAGAAAAAGAAGAATAAAAGCTTCTCTGCTAATTAGCAGTCAGTCTATCAGTCATTTAAAAATTATATTGTATTTAAAATGCGTTATTTATGAATAAAAATTTAAAAAACCTAAGGTATATACGGCTTTTCATAAATTGCTTAAAATAATTGTAATATGATTTTAATTTTTAATTAGTTTCTAAATTTCTAGACATATCTTGAATGCAAAACAAAAATTGCAATTTAGAAAATGTGAAATGATTTTTTTCAATATTCAGTTTTCTTTGTAATTGTAGCTGCGTTTCTTTACTAATAGACCGTGAGTTTGGATTTCAACGCTGGCTTCTTCGTATAGATTAATGATTTCAGGGGATAATATATTATGTTATGTTGATCAGAAGATCTTGCGGGGTGAGGTTACAATTTGAAGTAACTGATTTATCCGTCTCCATTTAAGTTTCTAACATCATTCGTCCAACACACATATCTATGTACGACTACAATATCGTATATTGGTAATTTAAAAACAAATTATCCTTAACATCTTACTTTCTGGTTAATATAAAATCGTGCTAAGTCTTTACTGAAACATTTCTGAACGTTTTTGAAAAAGAAAAACGATCTACAGAACAGCTTTGCAATAATTCGCAATCAGTTTTGCTTTAAATAATTTCAGAAATATATATATTTTTATGTCTGGGTATTATATTGGTTCACTGTAATATATAGGAACTTAACTTAAAAAAAATGAAATCTTAATAAGCCATAAAGCTTAAAATATTGAATAAATTATGCTTTTTAATCACACTGTTTTGATAAAAATAAAATATTTACCATGTTCAGGCCTCATTTTCCACGACAATGAGTTGGGGAAAGAGATAACCAATTTAACCATTTTAATATTTATGTACATTTATTTGAATTCGTATTTGGAAAATGAAATAATGGATGTTAACTGGTGGAAAATAAAGGATCATAAACAATGCTGGTAAAAGATTTGGGAAGCAGCTCAAAAGATGTTTAAGCCAGGTCTAAATATATTGGCTAAGCAACGGATTCAGCGGATTCTTCAAGAAGTAGAAGGTTTCTTTATTATGGCATGTGGCGGAATTTTCTTAAAAACAAAGCCTTCCAGACAATGTTTAGTAAAAACATTATGGGTAGATATCGGAAGCATTTTGAAGAAGACCGACCAGACGAAGCCACCGGCCTTTAACTTGGTTGATTGATTGATGGAACACGATTAAGAAACTTAATCTGAATGTTATATTATATTATTTTATTAATGCAACAACTACTATATATGCTATATATTCAGTAAAATCTCCAACAGCGTCGATGAAAAGAGAGCAACTTCTTATACAAGTAGATATTGTTGAATCGATGAACGATCTCTCAATGGTTTTCCCAAATAACAAACTGACAACAAGTCCTTAAACGTAATCGTAGATATCTGATTTAAATCGGACGCAATGCAATTCTTATTGAATAGAATTTGAAAATAGTGTTTGTCCCGTTACCAGTGAAAGAATGCATTTATTTTTGACTTTTATATATTGTTTTTAATTTTGTAATGACTAACATTTTAAAAAATTACAATTCAATATTGGTTAAATTACTTGTAAGCATTAATTTCTCATTTTTCGCTTTTCACACTATAATTTGTTTTGTTAAATAAGGTTAATGTTGCTTCTTATTTTTTTTTTCATGTTCATTTTCTCAATTTTCTGTAGTTTTTCCTTGTTTGCTGACAACTGTTGCTTGTGATTGATTAGCTTTTCTTTTTCTTTTATTGTTTTTAATTTCTTTTTTATTTGTAATAAATGTGGAGTGGAGTTGCTTATGACTTTATATCTCCGCTGTGATTAGTTGAATCCATATACTAGTTGGTATATGTTTCCCTTTTAAACTATTATTTAATTGTATCTGTTTAGTTGTCTACCGATTTTATATTGTACAAGAAAACAATTTTGAGCTTAATATATAAGAGTAGAACGGACAATTGCTTCTGCCTCCCTATACACAAAGACTGACAATTAGAAGAAATTATAGTTAAGCACATGTGTGGCAATACAATAATAAAAAGAAAGCAAATTAATTTACATATGCGTTTGCTTGTTTATATATACTCGTATATGTAATGCTTGCTTATGTAAGAAGTTCGTTGATAGCTGTGCACACTCTTTTACAATATAGATTTAAGTTGAAAGTAGTTGCTTCTACTTTTTGTTGGTTTTGTTTTGTTTTGAGAATCAAATCAAGTCAGTTTACAGTCGCAGTTTTTTGTTTTTTGTTTTTTTTTTGGGTCGTCAGAGCTTTTTGTTTACAAATATGGTTTTGTTGTTTAAGCGCTACTCTTGGACTCTGATCAGTTGTGCCTATCTGCCGATAAACTATACAATAATCAGTATGTATTTGTATCATATTTTACACTTAAAAAAAGCAGTTGGCAATAGGTTGGTTGTTGTGGTTGTTGATTAATAAATTTGCTGCCTCAATAAAACATCTTTGAATGCTCTTAAGTACCGTGTCTATAAAATGCATTGAATGCACTTACGCAGATCGTACAAATCCATAATGAGTATCAGCAACATATCTCTTTCCTCTTTACAACTTCAATATAAGTACATATTTTGCATATTGAATATTTTTGTTAGCGCTGTATATTTATATATGTATATATACTATATGTATATGTTTGTATGCAGTTTTTTTTTTAAATAATTCGCAATACGCTTCTCTCTCTCTCCTTAGATATTGTATACATATATATGATTTGCTTTCTAACATCTTGTTTGTTATTATTTTGTTTAAGCTATTTGCAATACAACTTCATATTATTGCCTATGATGTCTGATGTGAAATTACTTTTTTTTTTGCTGAACTTATTTCGACTGTAGGTTTTTATGTTTCTTTAGAAAAAGTATCCAAAACAAAATACATTTAGTACAATTGTTTTTTGTTATTTATGTTTAGATTTTTACAAATGAAATTAATAATAAAATAAATTACAATCAATTAATAAATACAATACAATTCGGGACAATAGAATTCAATTTGGGTTCCTCAAGTAGCCTTTCTCTCATTACTGGGCAATTTTGTCTATTGGTCTATTGTTTGCTTATTTGTTTTTCTGTTTCTCTGGGAGTTCCATTTCAATATTACTGTTTAGGTGTAGATTTATTGTTGTTTAATTCCATCTTCTTCTGTTTTTTATTTTTTTGTTTTGAAAAAATGAACACTTTTTATCTGGTGGGAATATATGTGGTTTTGGAAATCTATTGCACACAGCATGAATTTTTGTGTCCATTTTTGTGCTTTAGTCGCGCCTTGGGCTTGTATTTTTCCAAAAATGACAGCTGTTTGGCATTGATGGCCCCGCGTCGTTTGCTGCAAATGAGATGAATATAGAACAGAGAACTCAGATTAGAAGATTGTTGTTGCTTTCTGCTGCATACACTATTATTATGAGCCGTTATCTGATCTCTTGATAGAGCTTTGGATGGAGAGTGAAATGAAAAATTTGCATCACTATTCGTACTATTCGCGCTGTTCATTTTTAATACCCTATACGCGAAAAAGGTCTTGCTAAGGACATAGGTGTGTTTAAATGCATGTAACAGGCAGAAGAAGCTCCTCCATAAACGTCTGTCTGTATGAACGTCTGGATTTCGCAGACGGCTGAGCGCACAGTGACCTAACTACGTATTAACATTCTCCTAAGTCTTATGTAGCACGAGTTTATTTATTTTCTCCTTATTTTCCAAAATTTCAAAGCTTGGATTAATTTATATGATCTCGTTATAATTTTGAATATTCTTCAGAGCTTTTAACGTTTAAACTTGGCAGGGGAGAGGGACGCAGGTCATTTAATTTGTTTGTATTTATTTGGATCACTTACTCTCTTATCATTTCAACAGCTGCTTCATATTTCAAGCCTAATTCAATGAGTGCCAAGGCCACCAGGACAGGAGCACGTCCCAAGCCCGCGACACAGTGCACGGCAACACATGCCTCGGAATCTTGTTGGTATCTGTGGAGAAAGCGATATATAAATTAGTCCCAACATGGTATATGAATATATTAAAATATAATTTAAGAACGACTATAAATTAAGCCTATATTGTACGTTCCTTGATACAAAACAACATATAAATTGTTATTAGTTTTCTTCTACGCTTACCGACAAGTGGCATTATCAACAAATGCAGTATTATTTAAAATTGCTGCTGTATCGCTTGTGTCATTTGCTGTTAGGGGCATTGTATCTGTAGTTGTTGTTGTTGTTGTTATTGTTGTGAGACTGGCTCTTGTTGTTGTTGCTGTAGTTGGAGCTGTTTTTGGTATGTGTCTGAGCGAGAATCGCTTATGTTTGTAGAAGGATACTGTGGCGCTTGTGGGCTTTCTAAAACTAGCAGCAAAAAATAGCACACATACAACACACAAGTAGGAAGGAAGTAAGTTTGGTATGAAATTTGTAGTATTTCGTAGATGGATTGCTTTCTTTTTTATTTTTTGTTTGTGTTATTTGCCAGTGGAACAAATAATATACATACTTAGTACAATGAGAATGGGAGAAAGAGTTAACAAAAGCGTTCTAAACAAAAAGTGACGTTAGCTTTAGAAAGTGAAAAATGCAACTAAAGACTACATTCAGTTTGTTTTTTTGTTGTTGTTAGAAATACAAAACTGAAAAGCAAAGCATAAGCGGAGTCTTGTTTACGATTTAAAATTTAAAATTTTCTTTAAACTAGTTTTGTTTGATTTGTCGGTTTTGCCCAGTTGTTAGTTTTTCTTGATTTAGCTTTGATGTTTATGTTTCATTTGTTTTTGTTTATGCAAAGCAATAAATAATACTGAATGAATTGATAAAAATCACTTGAGGTGTCGCATTTTAAATTAGCATAGTAGATGCTAAAGATCTGAATATTCTCTCTTACGTAAAATAAGAATACAGTGAAATGTTAACCAAATATCAAAATATTTATAGTATATATGTAAGTACTAGATATAATTACATGTTATATATTATATATATTTTATAAAAGCAATAAAAATACCAATCTTAGAAATAATATTTACAAAATAATGACAAGTTTTTAAATCTTCAATATCCCTTAAGCGGCGATCAAACACGCAGACATTTGGCTTGTCAACTAGCGCTGCAGAATAATCGATCATTTTTGATTTATTAATCGATTAATTGTTAACTGAACAATATCATATTTTATAGTAATATGCTAATTCAAGTATAAATTTGACTGCACGATTAATCGATTTGATAAAAAATTATAGATTTTTACCAAAAATGTTAAATATCATTTAAGTCGATTCTTTTTACAGCTCTTGTGTGAACGAGATGTGGAGAACTATCGATGTTTTGGTGCTATCTAATGCTCTGCACTAACGATAACATTTAATAGATTTCTTAAAAGCGTTCAGTATTTTGGAACCTGGGCTTAAAAAAACGTTTTTCTAAATTATTTTAAAGCAAAGATCAACTTTCCCGGAAAATTAGTTAATATTAAATATTATTATTTGCACTCAAAAAAGTCAATTCTCTTTGAAATCAATTGAAATTAAGACGGTGCGGGACAACATTTACGGACATATCGATAGTTTATTTGTGAGATGTAATCGATATAAGAACACAACAGCAATTGTCCGCAAGCTCACAAACTCTGCGCTGCTGAACATCCAACTCTGATGAAATGAAAACTATTAAGAATAATATACTAACATTTCTTCTCCTTTGCGAATTACTTTTCAAAGCGTAAAAAAATTACGCTTTTGTTTGCATGTGTGACCGTAGATATATTTACGAATCTATCACTTCTAAGAAACCTATTTTGCAACCCAACTATCCTTCTCTTGAATATAATTTTGTTAAAGTAAACTTACAAACCAGCAGATTTCCCATTTAAACTAACATTTAGACCATCTTTCTGCTGATCCATTCACGGCTAAAGAGTGTAGCTAAGTTCTAAGATACAAGTAGTTGGATATTACCAAAGTTTCTAGTACAGAAATTGTCTTTTCACTTTCTTTCATTTGAAGACTAGTTCTTTTTTCGAACTGAACTTCCAATTGAAATAATAATTATTTTAAAAAACATATCAAAATCAAATTCGCTTTTCAAGAATCACGTACATAGCAGAATTAAAGCCGTACACAGATTGTTAATAAGAAATAAACGTAATAATGTTTATGCCTAATATTTACATATTTAAACTATGCATTTAATGGTGTCCACTTACTTATCCTTTAGAACTTCAAACCACTCGTCAACGATTTGTTGCGGCGGAAAGGTGCCATCCTCAAAGGCCAAGTCCTTGACCGTAATGCCCTGGCCCTCCAACTCCTCAATGTTATAGCTCGGCTCACAGACACGCACCACAGTGTTAACATTGTTCTTTTTAAGCTCCTGCACAAGATAATCGAGATAATCGTTAATAGAGTTCGTTCAGGGATAAATATTAATGCGGCACTTACCATAATGTAGTGATTAATTGTAATATCTGATGGTCGATCGGTGATTAGGAACTTCATGCCCTTATACTCAATTAGAGCAGGTGCTGGGCGCAAATCTTTTTGACGCATATTGATGCTCATCAACTTTTTCAATCAACCAGGAGATTTAATTCAATTTGTTATTAACTTACAATTTGTTAAATTGTTTTTTAATTTGGTACCTTTGTACTTAATTTAAATAACTGTCACACTATAAACGGGTAGTCTAATTTAATTTGATTTCCTTCTGCGACTTTTTCGCTTTTCTTTGTTTTTTTTTTTTTTTAAATCAGGAAGTAGCTTGATTTAATTTAGAATTCTATATTACAAAATTCAGCGTGTTCCTAGATGATTTCGATTTTGGTTTTTGTTTTTGTAAATAATATAAAAAATACAATTAACTGTGCACACGCTAGCCTTTTTCTACATTAAACACAAATTAGTGGTGTGTGAGTAAAAAAAAGGTTGGGCTTTAATTAAGTACAAAAAGGGTTTCCTCAATGTTATCACAAACAATAATTTTGAATTTTCTCTGTCTTCCTTCTTAATGAAATCGTTTCTCTTCCTATAAAATCCCTGTTAGTTATGATTAAGCCGCAATTTTTTTAATACAATTTGCAATTTGGTAGCAGATTTATCTACTTTCTTCTTCTTTTGTTTTGTCTTTCTCGTTAAAAACTCTTAAAATTGTTCGTTGTTGAAATTTTTGAAATTATTTGCTTTCTTTTGTGATATGAACGAACGCAGCTCGCCTTGATGTTCAGTTTTCTTTTCAAGTTAAAGCACTTGATCTTTTTCACACGATCGATTAACAGCCCTGCCGCTCAAACGTCTGCGTGGCTGATATGATCCACAAATTTATCGGTGATTTCCGAAGAGGTGACGATGACGGTGATGCGTTCTCTCAGGCTATCACGGCCTTCCTTTAGTTAATGACTACCTGCGTAAGAAAACAGGAATATTAGAATGGTGTTATATGCATATATTAAGAGGATTATAAAGTATATTAAACCTATGGCATGATTGCTGTCCATCTGATTGTTTTCGAACAATTATTAACTCTGAAGCCAAAGTACACATTTCCTTTCATACACCTTAGTTTTTTCACTATTCTTCCAACATTTCCTTTAATGAGTGAGTCATTAATAGTCAGACTTTTTATAGCCTGACCCAGAAAGTAAATGAAGCTATAGTATTAGGTTTGTGCAGGTTAAATAGACAAATCCGTCTGTCTGGATGAACGCCTGGATTTTGGAAACGGCTGAGCCCATTCTGACCAAACTTTTTAGGCAAACTCTTCTAGTCCTTAGACAACACGAGTTTATTCAATTTAATTATATTATTCCTCCCCTTCCCCTGCCACAGACTTTCCACAATTCTGTCCATAATTCCAAAGCTACATAAACATAACTCTTCATACATAATAAATAAGCAATTCCTAAACTTTGTTTAACATTTCAAATTATTAGCGAAACAATTTTAATACATTACTACGCCCCCACACGGCAGCAGCGAGTTCGTTTCGAGGGTTCTACATCTTCTGGAAAGGGCAATGGAGCATATTTGTTTGACTATTCTCTCTTGTTATTATCTGACAGTTTGAAGGTCAAAATGATGTTCAAATTGAACTCTTTTTGGAAGCCTCTTCTTTAACTGTTTTCGTTCAATTCCCCTAATTTGTATTAATTGTTTGGGTCATTCAGTCAAATTTTGATTGTCGATATAATTGTGTGGTCTGTGGTCCCTACATCTGACTTTGAATGACTTTGTTATTGGAATTTACTTAAATGTTATGAAGATTGCACGCAAAAATGAAATTGTTTAATATAAGTAGTACTATAAATACTTATTTTTCATTTCCGTCTCATTCTTGTTCATTTACTTCCACATGCAATTTTACTGGAAACGTATAGAAATTGTCTAGAATTTTCCGTTTGTCATAGTTTTTTGTACATCCTTGAGAACAATTTCGTGTTGTTAACCGAAATGACCTTTTGGTAATTGTGTGTGGGTGCTTTTAATATCAGACATGACCAAATGGCAATTAAATGGCAATTATAGCAATTCAATTAATAGAATTACAAGACTTTCTGTAGTTCTAGTCTTTTCACTTAAAAAAAAGAAGATATCTATGGTTTGTTAAACTTACTTTTTATTTGTGCTGTGCTTGGCAGTATTCTGCACTGTCTAGATGAAACTCCATAGATGTGGGAACAGGTCTAACCAGCTGAAATAAAAGATATAGATTATTATAGCGATAGATTGTAAGTCCTTATACCTATGTAGGAATAATGCTGCTCGACTCGACTGAACTGTTGAAATAAATGTATTTTTGGGATTTCTTATACTTCTTATTTGAACAGAACAGAACAGAACCGGTCGGTAGAGATCAACAACATATGATGTGCATATAAATTCGTTCATATGTACATATAGTATGTACATGCTTAAGATGTTAATGAACACAACGCTAAATTGGACACAAAGAGGGAATGCTACACGGGTATAAATAGCCCATTTGGATTCCCGAAAAATGTTGTACACGAAATTCTTTTAAATAGTTGTTTGGTAATAAAATGTACGGTCCAGAAACTTCGAAAACTGTTGCCAAATGAACTTTATAACCAGACGGCTGTGCCGATCATGCGAAAAATCTGACATTAGTAAACAATAAACGAAGAGGCGCAATAGCAGCTATCAATGGAATTTCGTGCCGGCGCAAAGGTTATTAAATCATTTCAAAAGAAAATTCCCACTATTTACACCTTTACTGAAACATATGTAGACACTTATTTTTGAAAAAAATAATACTATTAAGTGGAAAATGTGTGAAAATTAAATGGAAAACACTTGTGTGTCAAATTTCAGCTCAAGTGAGAAATAATATGAGTGAATCAAAATAGCAACAGGCATGTACAAGTATGAGTTGCCAAATTTTTTTTTACAGCTCGCCAGATAGGTTTTTCCCATCTGCTGATCTAGCAAGCTTATACATATTTTAATCAATGTTTAATTATTCACAAGCACTAATCCAAAAGTTCATATAGAAGCCATAAAGAAGGAAACAAACAGCAACAACAAAAAAAGTGCACAGCTACCAAAACTTTCACTTCCACAATAAACGGGTGATTTGTTGGCCATTTTGTGAGTGTGGCGTTTTTGGCATCGCACTGTCTGTGGTGGCATAAGAGGTTGATAGAAATGTATAAAATTAATTTTTTTAAAACATTTGTTATATGTATGTTTTTTTTTCTTGCTTATGCAATGAGTTGTGTTTTGCGTCTTTCGGAAAAACAAAACACATACATGTATGTATATAGTAGAAATATATCAACGACGACATTTGACTGTCAGGTGGTGCCAAATTATTTTCATTGCACAGACCACTCACTCGAGATTAGAGGGAATTGGGTTTTAAAAATTGTAATACCGTTTTAATTGAACGCCATTTAATCACCAGTAATGCGGCGCGATAGTATCTCAATTAGATATCGACAGGTGTCAATTCTAAGACGTTGATCTATTACAACATTCAGTAGACTCGATTTGCTGCGAGATGAGCACAGTTTCATCTTTTGATGTCGACTGAATGTTCAGGTTTTTGCCGCAACGGCGAACGAGCGGTTTCAACTCGAGAGTGGAGAGTTTGATGGACTGCTGAGAGCAAGTGAGAGCAATTGCACGTGACGCAAGAGTCTACAAGAGCTCCAACACTCCCATTTAACGTACTGCGCTCCCTTTTTCTACTGCGAATATGACGCACATTTCTACACTCGAACCGTATATTCTATACATACATACATACATGCATACACGCGTGTATATACATACATACATAGAAAGGTGGGTACACAATATTGTTCGTTTAACGCCATAAAAACTCTTTACGGTCTGTTGCATATTTAAGCTTTTTTTTTCTCAACTGTCTGTCATATTTAACTAACGTCAAGTAATTACAGTCAAACAAACGTGTACACACACATACATATATAAATACATATACTCGTGTGTGTGTTGCCAATTTCACAGACAAAGAGCTTTTTATTATCTTTCGAAAATGTTTATGGAGAGTATTGGCCCATTTTTAATGAGAATTTTACGTGAAAATAAAACAAGTTCTACGGAACAACAAGTTCAGAAAGTGGCTATTCATAAAAATAATTCTTCCTAGAAGAAAATGGGAATTAACAACGAAAAGAAATGGGAAAGCAAATCTGGTGAACGTTATATATTTGTTTATATATACATATAGTATTTTATTGATAGAAATTGTTTATAAAAACACACATACATATGTATATTCAATATAAAAGTATTGAATCTATTAGATGATTTGCACAAATTTGTTTAAATTTTTTTATATATTAAAGCAGAGAGTCGATTTGTTTTATATTTAGTTATATTGTTAATCATTTAAGCTTAACCATAGGGGCTGCCATGCAATCTGATTAATGGAATTACATTAACATAGGTTTACAGAATGTAGAAACAAATAAAAGGAGCTGTTAATATGACTGGTATATTAAAAAGACGTTTTTAAATGAAAACAGACGACTTATAATGGGTCTATATAATGTATTCAACTATTAACGTGTCTTAATATAAAAGCTCAAATGTCAAAATACTGCCAACTATTTGCGTAGTACGACGGCAGAAAAGTTAATATGAAATTTTTATATTTCCATCCATTCTATTTCATTATCTTAAATAATGGTTAGTGTATTAATTGATTTATTAACGAGTCTTAATATAAAAACTCAGATGCCAACTATTTGCGTAGTAAGACGGTGGAAATTTAATATAAAATTTGTATATTTCCATTCATTCTACTCCACTATCTTAGATGATGGTTACAGAAACAGGCAGGCACACAAATCAACATTTGTTTACATGACAAATACTATAAAAGAAATCATCTCAAGGTCCCCGGTACTTGCCAGTAAAAAGACAATTTCAATGAAAAGAGACGACAACTAAAATAGCTAAGGAAGCCAAATAAACTGTCATTGTATTGCATAAACAACTTTCGACCCAATTGTCATTTTATACAAATTGCAAACAGTATGCCCACATGCATATACTTGTACTTACATACAAGTATATATAAATAGGCATAGGTATACATATATAAGTGAGTATACACGTACATATATTATTAAATTATGCACACAATGAACAGTGAAGGTCACATAGCAACAAAACTTTGCAACTAGATAGTTTTTGCATGCAAAATGAAATGGGCGGAAAACCAGTTATTACTGTTATTATCAAGCTTTAGGCGGAGTGGTCTCAATGCATCATATATCATCATATATCTATCGTATGTACACAAATATGGGAGTATTTTTTAGTATACTTAATGGAATGCTGTTCATTCAAAGCTGTTAATAGGGATAACCATTTCAAATGCCTTCAATTGCCTCTTTCCCATTTAAATGCTTCTTTATATTAAAATTGAGCCTACACTTGATATAGCCGGTTCTTTCCGGTAGCAGCAACATACAAACATACATATATACCTATACGTATATATTTCTAAATAATTTTGTTGTTATGCGGCATTGCACCAAACAAGTTATTATTTATTTATATTTTTATATAGACCCAAGTGTTAATCTTATCAAGCAGCACTCGAAACATAAATTCCAGTAAATTGAAAGCATTACTGAATAATTGGTAAGAGCTAATGAAGAATGGTGCTTGACTTTAAAAATAGCGGTAAGATATTCAAAGACATTTTCTTTTGAAAAGGCCAAAGGAAAATTAAGTTAATTAAAAATTTTGCGGTCAACAACTTTTCGTTCATGGCGTTATTTAAATTGAGATCATTATTAAAAATTAATTAACTGAAATCTTTATTAAATATCATTACCTTACCTAATACTAGCGTTAAATTGTTATTCTAATAACTTCTCCAATTTCGATGAATAGCTTTTGTAAACAATGTTCCTGAAATTCTGTAGTGGTAGAAGGAAGGAAAATATCAAAAACTGGGCAATAAACTTGTGTTCTCCAGTGATAAGGAGAATCGGGGTATACATAGACTCTGGTCAGTGTAGGCTAAGCCATTCCCAAAATCCAGGCATTCATTTAAACGTAAATGTTTCCTGCTGCCTGGAAACTTTGAAGAAACCGCATAGGGTTTTTTTCTCCGGGTACTAAATATTATACTACATTTTATAAAAAACATTTCAATAAACTGCAGCTTAAATGTAAATTTATGATCTTAAAACTATTTACAGACAATTTGTAACCTATTTCTACCGATTTTACAATGTGAAATGTACTTAGCCTTTTCAATTATGCATTAATTTGTGAGAAATTATAATTGCATTTAAAATTTACAACAAACAAGTGCTGCTAAAGTCATATTTTTAACACAGAAATTCAAAACAAATTTGAGAAAACATACTTGTATTGACTGAATAATCTTAAATATTTGTTTAAATTTGCATAATTTTCTTTCGTCTCTCCTGCACCAGTTAATTACTTGTAGAATAAACTTTAGAGAGTCCTTCAAAGCCAAATTATATTTTAATGAAAACTTGAGAAGGAAAAGCTCAATCAACCATAAAAAAGGGTCAGACCAAAAACCCTGCCAAACCCGTGTGCCCACAAACAAATTCAGCAAGTCAATGCAAAGGTATGAAGAATAGAGGGCTTGCAGATTTTGTCTGGACGAGACGAGACAGATGCGTGAGAGTTTCGAGGACAACAAAGCGCCAGGAAAGTTGATTGGACTCGAGGCAGACAAGTCAATGCCACAGACGGCAAATCTACGGCAACAATAACGAAACAAAGACTACCGATTTTAAGCATACATACATATATACGTATGTACATAAGACTACATATTAAGGCAAGGCAGACAATTTTGGGAGAGCACATAAATGTATATGGATATGTGCACAAGTCGAAATATGTAGGAACCTTAGCCGTAGTGCTTGTCGCATTAGTGTTTATTGTCTGGGTATTTGTCTGACTGTCTGGCTGTCTGCCTAACAACAACAACAACGAAAGCAGAATTGTATAAACAACAACTGTCAGTTCAATGTCCTGACCAAACAACGAAAATTGAAAAAGAAAAAAAAAAACTAAATGCTTCTGATAACACAATACAATACACAATGATTATATATGCTAACCATAATTGACTTTTGAATTGTCGGTTTTTAAAGTAGTACGAAGCATGCTGTAAGATCAACATAATGGTGTATTTATAAACCAACTGAATAACTTTAACAGCTAAGTACAAGTATATCTTTGTTTTGTTCCCAAATTTGACAAAATATTACCAGTGCCGTATCGCTTGTAATTATTTAATAATTATTATTAAATTTATTATTTTTTCAATCATTTCGAAATATTTATTTGCACTTATTTATATTACAAACTTTCTAAGCTAGCTGGTTGATTGCTCAATCAGCAGACTTCAAGAGAAAGGTGGAAAAAGTTCAAGTTCAAGTTCATGTGCAATAACATTTTGCAAACATGCGCAAAATTAATAAACCCGCTCATTCTGTTTTTTTATTTTTCAAGTAATTCGAATAGGTTGTCTGCACGCGCCAACAAACTAAACATACAAGAGTATCAAATAAAGGAAATATTCATTACGTATTGACACAATCGTCTGTGTTGTCGTCACGCGTCGTTAATGGTCTCAATGCAACTTTCATGCTCAACAATACAAGTAGGTGCCAATAAGGCGTTTTGCAAAATGTGAGGGAAGGAAAACAGCTGGAAAAAAGACCAATAAAAGCCTCAAAAATAAAACAGATTTAATTAGATAATGCTAACCAGTGCTAGGCAGAAAAAACCAACGCAAACTGATAAACATGCGGCGAACTATAGGTATAGCTATAAGCTATAAGCGTGCTTCCTGATCTAATAATAAAATCATGAGGCTATACAAAATTGTCTGGGAGACCTGTAGGTACGCAGTTGTATGTACATGCAACAATAACGTATTAAACAAAAAGTTACATTTCATGAGCTATCGCAAAAGATCGATTTACATACCAAGGGCATTTGCTTCTTATTCTTATATTACTCTGACTCACTTAGGGGCGTAGACTTTGAGGTCTTACACGTTCTCGCGGTCTCTCTAAAGCAAACTAGAGGTGCAGTGAATATGCGGTTGATCAAGAAACAGACCATTAAGAGGTTAAATAATGTGTATGCTATATAATATTCTATATTATTATTATATTATATTATTCCATAACTCCTTATAACTTCCAATATACGTCTTCGTGATATATTTTACATATACAATAGGGCTTCTTTTAACTTATTTATACTATATACACATATTATTAAAATGTCTTTACTTCTAATCAACACCTAGGCCTTTTTCAAAAATATTTCCAAAAAATTTTAAATACCTTTCGATTCTTACTATCAACATGCGTAGAGCTTATTAAAATAGGCCTTCTTTCAACTTATTTATACTATATACACATATTATTAAAATGTCTTTACTTCTAATCAACACCTAGGCCTTTTTCAAAAATATTTCCAAAAATTTGAAATACCTTTCGATTCTTTTATCAACATGTGCAGAGCTTATTAT